CTGGGCATGGTGGTGCGTGCCTGTAATCCCAGCTACTCAGGAGGCTGAGGCAGGAGAATTGCCTGAACCCAGGAGACGGAGGTTGCGGTGAGCTGAGACCGCGCCATTGTACTCCAGCCTGGGTAACAAAAGTGAAACTCCGTCTCAAAAAAAAAAAAAAAAAAAAAAAAAAAAAAAAAAAATTATGCTAAGACAAAGAAGCCAAATATAAAAAATCGTATGTTATATGACTCCACTTACAGGAAATGGCTAGAATAGCCACATCACTAGAGGTAGAGAGTAGATGAGTGGCATTTTGGGAAATTTTTAGCTGATTTTTTTCTCACTTGTATGGCAGCTACATTTTTCTCATATGCTTGCTATTGGATATCAGTGCATACATCCTGTCTTTCCTTGGAGGGAGCTCTTCTTCCTGAGATCTCCAGGTATTTGGTTGCTCCTTGATGGACTCAGGAAATGTGATAGGATGGTTTATCTAGCCTTTTCTCATTTTAAAGTTAGGAGTAACACCTGTTCAGGCTTTCTACATCATTTCATAAACTTTATTTTGTTCCAGACTGTTTTAAGACTCTTTCCCTGTCCTTTGGACTATTAAGAGTCATCATTGGTTAGAAAAATTAAAGTAATTGCTTTATAAGAGGGATCTTAATTTTAAATTGTAAAAGCCACAACAGTAACTTTGTTTCAGTTTCAGTGTATTTAACATTTTTTGTGTAAACTCTAATAAAGTATTAAACACATAGAAATTTTGTGAATATGTTTAATGATGATGATGAACTTCTTTTTCCTTATTATTTGTTGACCTAGGATTATTTAATTGAGGAGGGATACTATGTGTATGCAGATATTGATTAGTACATATACTCTGTTGTGTAAATTGTAAAGTATTATGAAGGATTAGGTACTTCTATAATTAATCTCTAGTATTTTCTCAGAAGTATATCTTTTTTTTTTTTTTTTTCTAAGGCATGGTCTTACTTTGTCACCTAAGCTAGAGTACAGTGGCATAAACATGGCTCACTCCAGTCTCAACCTCCTGGGCTCTAGCAGTTCTCCTGCCTCAGCACCCCTCAAGTGGCTGGGACTTATAGGCACATGCCACCACATCCACCTACTTTTTGTATTTTTTGTAGAGATGGGGTTTTGCCATCTTGCTCAGGCTGGTTTCGAACTCCTGAGCTCAAATGATCATCCCACCTTCATCTCCCAAAGTGTTGGGATTTCAGATGTGAGCCTGGCCTCACCAACTCTGAATTGTCTAGTGTTTTTATTTTCTTTATGGTGCCACCTCCTCAGAACATCTACTCCCCTCAAACAAATTTAATAACAAAACATTTCTATGTAGTTTTTTTTTTTTTTTTTTTTTTTTTTGAGATAGAGTCTTGCTCTGTCACCCATAGTGGAGTGCATGGCGCAATCTTGGCTCACTGCCAACAACCTCCAGCTTTCAGGTTTAAACGATTCTCCTGCCTCAGCCTCCAAAGTAGCTGAAATTATGCCACGTGCCTCCACACTTGGCCAATTTTTTATATTTTTTGTGGAGATCGGGTTTCACCATGTTCCCCGAGCTGGGCTTGAACTTTTGAGTTCAAGTTATCTGCCTTTCCCAGCCTCCCAAAGTGCTGGATTACAAGGCATGAGCCACTGTGCCTGGCAATTTTGGCCGACATTGTTTTTCTCCCATTCTAAACTTTCTTTCAAGCATTAGAGCCTGCATCTGTAGTATGTAGCACAATATTTTTATTAGATAATGGCTCATTCGCTAATTGTTCATGTATGTCTTGTCTAATCTTGTTCCTGTAAGTCTTGAGACAGTCTCACTCTGTCTCCCAGGCTGGAGTGCAGTGTGCGATTATGGCTCACTGCAGCCTCAACCTCTCAGGATCAAGCAATTTTCCCACCTCATCGTCCCAAGTAGATGGGACACAGGAATGTGCCACCATTGCCAGTTAATCAATTTATTTATTTTTTGTGGAGACGGGGTCTCACCATATTGCCCAAGCTGGTCTCAAACTCCTGGGCTCAAGCAGTCCTCCTGCATTAGCCTTCCAAAGAGCTGGGGTTACAGCTGTGAGCTACCATGTCCAGCCAAAATTAATATTGTTGATGGGCAGACTTTATGACTTAAAAAAAAAATATGCCCCAGAGGGCTGTGCATATTGTATAAACTTAGCGAATATTTATTAATGCTTTCTTTTTGGTAGTTGTATTTAGTAGTTGTATTCTACAAAATTCTATTAAAAGGATGACCAAGACAACCAGGAGATGAGGAGACCTGAAGTTAGTTAGCTTTGCTGACTTTGCAATCTTTAAACACTTAACCTTTTTCTAGATTAGAGGAAACTGCATATATTAATCAAAAGCCAAATTAGATTCTGGAGTGTTTTTAGACATAGCGATCAACATCACATAAAACAAACAGCTGATTAGTAGGGAGTGAGTGCTGAAGTAGTTATGTTGTGTTTAAATCTCCTCTGACTGGGGACCCGCATATTTACCAGATAGCCTAGGTTTAAGGAGAGTATTACAGAATAGTGATTTATATTTGGTTTCTTTGATGTTAGTTGATCTGTATTATTGATTAAATCCCTTTTTGTCACTTACTAGCATTATGGGCTAACAACTTTCTTGGTAACTCTAGTCATTGATAGCTCTTGGTACTATTAATCATTGACTGTTGTAATATAATAAAATGACTAACATGTTTATATTATCTAGAGAAAAGCAGCTTTTTTCTTTGTTATGATAAATCTTGATCTTGACATTATAGCTGTCAGAACAACCAGCAGGATACTGGTTTGAAATCTTTCCCTGTACCTAGAATCTTTGAAATAATATTCATTAGTACATTATGTTGACTGCCTCTCTTTTTGTTCATAGTGTAACATTCATCCTAGCTTTTTTTTTTTTTTTTTT